TTCCATACCCATCCTTTCCTGGCAAGAAATGCTCATACCTCCTTGCAGTTCTTGCTGGGTATTAACAATTTATATTAAGCGAACTTGAATACTGTAACGGTTGTATGTGTAGTCAATACTTTAAATTCAATACTTTTATTTCAAGTTATTACTTTTTGTACCATTTTTAAATTGTTACTAGTTAAACTGTGCTCAAAAACAAACATTGAAAAAGTAAGCGAGCGAACAATACAGTTAAATCCGGCTCTGCGATCCTAGCGTCTTACCCCGTACGTCCCGTCACAATAACTTTTCATGTAGTCAGAGTTCCACAGATTTCAATTTTTAGCTATTTACTTTCACGAGAGAATCTCGGACACTTGTCAGCTAAAAGCTGCATTAGAACAGCAACTTGCAAGACAACTCAGTGGTGAACAAACAGTGAACCTAGATAAATAAACCGCTTTGTTTACTTTGGACATTTCTTGTTAAATCTTATAAGTTTTTAGCAAAATATGACAGAAAAAAGTGTTCACAGCAGTTACTGTTGTCATTCACATAGAAATAGTGATAAAAATATTTATTTTCAGGAACTAAACTTTTTTGTGTAATATTTAATAAAAAAAATGCCTAGCGTTTACGTATATTGTTTACTGAATCTAGACACACTGCGGTTCTAGATATAGAAATTAACGATACTTTAAAATATATAATGCACCCACTAAAACATTTGCCACCTTCCAGCCGCAAGCATTGTTGGTTTCATCCATGCTAATCGAGACGTAGGTATTTGTCATTCAGGTCAAAATAATTCTTTTGTTTTATACTGTCACATCTCTGTGATAACTATTTTTTTCTTAGTGTCGTTTCTGATGGCACCTGAATGTTGTTACTGCTCACTAATACGCGTTTGCAAAAATTGTGCAAATAGTGGATTATCGTCCACATATATTATTCCCAGCCAGTATTTTTATTAAATCTAAATTAGAATTTGTTTGCCTGTCACTATCAGTAAAGTATTATTGGTAGTAAACACTCTCACACCTTTTGTAATTGTCTGAGGGAATGTGTATTTTAATGTTTTTTTTTTGATGCACGAATGTACTTGCGCAATAAAATTCTGTGTCGTTAAATTGCAACTTCGGGAAATCACTTAATGCACAAGTCCACTTTATCCTCTGTAGGAATTAATTGAATGAGACGTTTAAAAAAAGTTTACCTTCGGTGCCTTTAATTTCGCACTGTTTATGTATCTACGTGTTATTCACAGAGACGTTTTATAAACACTACGTATTTTAGAGTGTATTCCAATGACTTCGAAGTCATCGGTGTAATTATTATCAACAAGGGGCAGTGGGCGTAAACGTGATGGCCACGCGATTCGTCTACATCTATCCATGAATTGCTATTGGACCCTCGACAATAACAAGCACTGTCGGTCAGTAAGTAATTGTTTTCTATAGCTACAAGCCGTTCATTTACCTGATAAAAATTTGTAATTTTTTGTTCCCATTTTTATATAAAAAAAAGAGATTTATTGCATAGTACATAAAATAATATTTTATCATATCATATTGTTTTGGAAAGCAACTACTGCCATCGCAAACAAAGTTCATCTAAGGGATGAGTCGTACGACAACCATCAGGACATATCGAACGCGTTTTCCGAATTTTTAAAAGAATTTTTTTCGTCACCGTCCGAAAAAAAATATGTATTTTAATAATGAAAACCTGTGCACGGCAAATAACTTCATACATTGTAACAGTCTAGATATTAATATAGTGCTATTAGCATTACAAAAAACTAAAACCCAAACTTACCAAGGGCCCGATGAAATACCTTCTTTCGTCATTAGAGATCGTGCTTATATATTTTTTGCGCCTCGTACCAAAAAAATATTTAATTTATCGTTAAAGGTCGGCCAATTTCCAGATATATGGAAAAGTTGACCCATTTGCCCGATTTACAAAAAAGATCAGAGGGGTAACATCGAGAACTGCCGGCCCGTTACAATAATCTGCAACTTTGTTAAAGCTTTCGAGTTTGCCTTACATGAGACACTATACCTAATACCTATACCAATATAACTAATCTGTTTCATGTAATGCAATTCATAGCGGAAAACTTACTCGTCAACATACAAATCGACTCGATTTACACCGATTTTTCAAAAGCTTTCGACAGACATGACCACGGAACTTTACTTAGTAAACCTCGAATTGCAGATCTCTCCAATTTGTTATTAACATTTTTCAAAAGTTACTTAAGTAATAGAACGAAATACGTAGAATACTGTGGTTTCAAGTCTGATGAAATTCATGCTATATCGGGAGTGCCTCAGGGCTCAATCCTGGGTCTTCTTATGTTCGCTTTATTCATTAACGATATAGTGAGTGACTTGGATGTTGGCATCTTACTGTATACTAATGATACAAAGATTTTTACCTCCATAAAATCAGTAGCTGATTGTGAAAAGTTAGAAAATAACATTTTACTGCTTGGCACCACATTATACTTTCTACCTTTCTATTTTTATTGATTGTTCTTTTTGTTTCACTCAATATTTCGTATTTCATGTGTTATATTTAATTTTAAATTTCATGTCTTGTGCATTGTATTACATACTTTACCCACATCCTGTAATTTTTTTCCCACATCCTGTAATTGGTACTTGTACTGTGAGATGGTGTATGTATAAATACATAAATAAATAAATAACTAAATTAAATAAATAAATAAATAATAGTATATCACGTAAAAGTTACTTCTGTAATTTATCGCTATATGCCGATCTCAAAAATAACAGAGTAGAAATTTGTTTGCCAGACCTCTGTGTTAGGTAAAAAATTTTTTAACCAATGTTACTAAAATTTTACATTATGCGTCAAAATTACTGCATGTAAACTTTTAAAACTATACAAGAATACAGGATGTTACTAAGGATGCGGATGTGTGATACGTAGGAATAAAATGTTGATCGAATATTAATTATTTTGTACAGGACAAAGCTGCATCGTTAAAAGTAACTAATATTATACTCTTCCTATTTGCCTTCTTTTATAAGCACAATCTACTTACAATACAATCTCATAGAGAAAAGAGCATAAAGGATGAAAAGAGCAACAAATATCTTACAAGGAGCTTTTCGTCTACTCTAGAGCAAACATCGGGTAAGTATCGTGTACAATGGAACAAAAGAGACAAAACTGTTGTGTAACGTACGAAAAAGAAAACAAAGCCAATGATCACAGGCTACAAAGAAGCAACAGACATTGGCGTCCCAAGAAATCTTAGAATAGGAGGTTAATAAGGTTAACAAGAAATCTAAATAAATATGTTTCTAAATATGAAGCTCTTATAAAACTATTTGTAGAATATGAACATAATTTCCAGAACAAGTAGTTATTAAACAATTTCCCGTAATAAAATGTTTATTCTTAGTTTTATCATTTAGTGGAGTTTCTATTTTAGATTAAACCACAGATTTATGGAGAGCTTAAAATTAGACTTATGTCCACATAAGTTTAAAATTTACATTACAAATGTACCTTTTTATAAAATAAATGTAAAACTACAGTAATCGTTTACTCGTTGGCTAGAAGCTGCAACTTCACATTAGCATTTGACAATTGTAATATTAATTTCTTAAATGTTTAATGCTACATATTGATATTACAACTTAGTGGGAATATGTCAGTCAAAACTGAAAAACTATCTTTTTAATTTAGTCATTTGCTGTGTACAATTGATAAAGACTGTTTATGTGATTTATGTTGTATTTATTCCAACCTGCGTTTTGTACTAGTTTTTTCTTTATATAAATTTTTACCTACTGATCATGAACAAGAACAACACAATTTAACTAGTCCTGAGGGTGCTAATAAATACAGCAAAACGTCGATTAAATAAAAAAAAATAGTTTTTTATTTTGATTGACCTATTCCCACTAAGTTGTGTGATATTAATCTTTGTTATAATACGGATAATATGCTTTTTGTTTTAAAGAAAATGATAATTACATGATTGAATAATATTTAAATTTTTAATGTGTTCATCGCAATATGAAACTTTTTCCAAGTATATCAAAAACATTCATTCACTCGAGAAACATATAAAAACTGACTTTTAATTTATAAATGATAAGAAAATAACAAATTACCATCATCATAAGAAAATAGCAAATTACTATCATTTTGACCAATTCATATATTATGATGCGAGAAAAGATCTTTTAAGAACTTAAAAACCGTCGACACAATAAAATAAATATTCAGAAGACTCTAATGAAACTCTTAACGAAAACTAACTCTCTGTCGTTACGTTACGTTACGGTACTGTATAGAGTAATGAATCCGAAAGAATCGTAACGAAGTCTGTATCAAAATACTGTAATCTAAAGGAACGTATAACGAGGCTTGTACCGAAAAGCAACACCGAAATGAAACGTACAACGAAACTAGTACTGAAATGCAACAAAGTAACGAAATGTACAATGGACCTTACACCAAAATGCAGTAATGTAATGAAACGTTCAACATATCTAGTACCAAAATCAACTATGTACGAAACGTACAACCAAACTTATACTGAAATACAAGACAGCAAAAAAATGTACAACAAAGTTTGTACAGAAATACAGAAAAGTAACGAAATTTAAACACATGAAATACATTAGGGATATGAACTTTTAGAATGTTGTGTTAATATTTTCTTTATATTTTGTATCTAACTGTAATAATGCCTCATACATTTTCGTAAAACTTTATTAAAATATTTCGGTTTGGCCATTTTTATGTATATTGTTTGTATGTTATGTATTACGCATTATGACTTTTATGTGTATGTTATATAGTACAGTATGTGTAATGTATCATGCTGTACATCACAGGTAATACAACCCCTTGTATCCCTGAAGGTACTTTAACGTACCTTGTAAGGAAGAGGGCTACACATTTAGAGACAATGGACACGTACCCAATGTCCGAGTATGCTAGGATTAATTTCTGGCTCAGAACAAATCTTAGCTCATCGACCGAGGATCGAACCCGGGACTCCAGGATGAGAGGCAAGTGTCCTTACCACTCAACCACGAAGCCACAAATAACATAAGATTCATGTATATTCCATACAATTTATTCCAACGTGTACATAAACCAAAATAAATTAAAATAAAAAATGTTACCATTATTATATTCTAAACTTACACTTCCTTGCCTAATCATTTTATTTCTTGTTGCATGCCAAGAATATAACAGAACATTACGTTACGAAGGTAGGTCAGGTACACTCTAGGAAAATAAAGTTTTTGTTACTTTCCAATAAAATAACGAAACTTTTCGTTACATTTTCGCTACTTTTTGTTTAGTTGCAATAGGAAGTTATCGCAGCAATTAACGGTAAACAATACGATAACGGTAAACTTAAAATTTAGAAACTTATTGGGTACATTAAACAGGTCTGACTAATAGCATAAATTCATTTAAAAATTAACGTTACCGTATTTTTACCGTAAATTGTTGCAACGCCCTAAATTGGTTACGTTTTAGACTACACATTTATTCTGTAAGGCATTCGTTTCTACGCCTATGGCGACACACGATCATGGCTGTATGGGCATGGAGCGTCCATTACAAGCAAAATAACAAAGACGAGGACTAAGCTTTGTCATATTATACTGCAGAGTATTTGACGGATCATCCTGCTTCAGAATGAGATGTCTTCATTCCATTGTGCTACACTGACTGTAGTGAAAGCTTGTTCAAAAAGAACAACGTGTACTTGTATATATGCTATTTTTTGTATACTTGACGCACAAATCAATACAACGTGCCCATTTCCTATTAGGGATGACATCAGCCGGATCAAGGACTTTTACTTTCAATTTTTAGTCCACATTAGGTAAACAGAAACCATTAGAATTGTTGATTGTGTAATGAATATTGAGTACAAACATGTATAATTTTGCTGTGACATACTTTTCTGACTTATGTCCTATAGTGACAATGAAAAATAGTTAATTATAACATTTGCATTCTACGAAAAAAAAGTTTCCGATGTTGATGAAATCTTATCAAATGAAAAGCATTTTGTGTACTATTTAGTTTCTACTCATGTACATGGTTACTGGAAAACATATTTTTAAATTAAAAGTGCTTGATACAAATGACAGTTTATTCTCTCTTTGCCTTATTATGAGAGAGGGGAAACTTAACCAGAGTCCAGTCCATATAGACAAATAAAAGCAACAGTATTAATAATAATTAATAATAATAATAATAATAATTAATAATAATAAAATACATATCGCTTGATAGAATGTATTATTCAGAATGACTGAAGTATGCCTACATGTTAGCATACATGGTCACAACTAATATTCGTCCTGCATTTGTGGCTGTTAAATTTGAGTGATTTGGTCTATACATATGTTTGTACAAGAGAAATGAACGTTCCACATCTATCGAGGTTAATGGTGTGAATTCTAAATAATTCACATTGGCAGGCAGTAATGACGAGGATAATCGAGATACGATACGATAATCGAATTATTTCGATTATTTAAATATCTCGAGAAAATCTATTATGACTTGTAAAAATTAGTGGTATATTAATAGTTAAGAAAATTAGTTGTACACAATTATTGCACGATGAATGTGGCGGCATCCGATTCAACTATTTTCTCGGTTTCGAAGTTGCAACCCTCGATCGATGAACACGATAAAGTTCAAAGTAGGTAGTTGCGGAAACCTATATTGTAACGGGACGTGCGGAGCAAGACGCGACATGTGGGCAGGAAATGTATAACACATGACATCTTCCGTCTTTTACACCGCTTGCATTAATTAAAGCGAGAACGATGACTATTGTTTTTGTTGGTACGCGACCGAGGCAGAGTTTAGCTTACTTGCTGGGATACCTCAGAGCCACACTTAATTTTGTTACCGAATCGTTCTAGCAGTGCTGATATATTGTAAGTATAATATTATAAGATAAATAATAATTATTTAATATCTGTTTATTTGCTGGCGTGTTTTAGAAAATAATTTAAGAAGGTTATCGTATTGAAGTGAGTTGTGTAATAGTGTAATATAAGTAATAATTATTTCATATCTGTTTATTTGCTGGTGTGTTTTTGAAAATAATTTAAGAAGGTTATCATATTGCAGTGAGTTGTGTAATAGTGTAATATAATATACATATATTTTATATCTGTTTATTTGGATGTGGGTTTTTGAAAATAATTTAAGAAGGTATTTGATGTAAAAAATGTTTCGACCATGGGAGGCCTCTCTGCATCTTATTGTCTTTGCGCAAATGAAAGTGATAGTGATTACAGTGATACAGAAAATCAAAGTTCACTAGTGTTTTCAGTAAGAAAAAATCGGCCACATTTGAACGAGCAAGCGAAACAAATTTGCCTTAATGTTTACAATAATCTTTTTGAAGCGACGGGCTAATGAACCCAATTTGTATGATTTGTATGCACTAGGCGTAACAGCATCTCTGACTAACGTTCCTCGTCCCATAATCCACAAACTGGTGAAAGAAGGTGCCCTCCCAAGAAAACAAAGATCCGATGCCTGTCAATCGACAACTCTGGACCCATCGTTAGCAAAACTTTTAAGAACTTTAGTTTACGACACATATCAACTATTGACGTGGTAGACAGAAAATTAAAAGAAATGAATTATCATCTAAAATATATCAAAACAACTTTAGGAACTTGGCTGAGAAAAATTGGATAAATATCAAACTATTGATAAACGCATGACGATTATGGAAAGTAGACGAATAGTGGATTGGCGAAATTCATATCTAGAAGAGATAAAAGAACTCAGAAGGGATAATAGACCAATTTCTTATCTAGATGAAACTTGGTATGATACTCATGACACCGTAAAAAAGGATGGACTGATGGATCTAGGAAATGTCAACCAATCTCATTGCCCCCTAATAAAGGGACTCGACGTTCTTCAAAATTATGGGTCTTGCTCAGTTTAAGAAGCATAGTTATCCTGATTTAATTATGTACGAATGACATCAAAGTTTTGAAGTCCAAACATCATTCAAACGTCAGACTTGGAACCATCTGTGGAATAGCAAATCGAAGAGATACTCATGAATCATGTTCAAAATAAAGATAACAAAGATGTTTATAAAACAGAGAACCTATGATACCTATGCAGGGACATCTAATACTGACAGATATTCACGTCTGACATAACAATAATTATAGTTAATTATTAAACAACGTTGGCCAATTTCTACAGAATAAGTAAAAAAAAAATAATGTTTTCTTGGTTTATTTCAATGGCGAACATTGCGTAAGCCATGGAATGAGGAATGAATACGACGTTGATTTGAACCAGCATGTTGGGAGCTCTCATTGGTTTGATCGGCCGATTGTTGGTACAAATGAATTAACGAACAATTTACGGCTAAAAGTCGTCAGTAAAAAAGTGTTCATAGTAGATCAGCGAAAGTATAGGGAAAACCTTTAGAAAGGCCAGTATTGCTTTTGTGTAAGTATTTCTGCAATGGAGTTATTATTAAGTATATACTTATTTTCCCCTTTTTTCTTCTAAGGCAGCACTATATATGACACCTTGGCAAGTTTAAATTTTTTCTCCAAACCAAACATATGTTTCAACGGAACATAAGACGCATAAATGATAAACACAAAAGAACCTGTAACAATTTTATTGCCATTCTATTTAAATCATGTAAACTGTACTATACAAATATACTGTTGAAAAATGGCCTATGATCAAGGCCAAAAATCTATCTCAACATTACACTCCTAATGAAAAACCTAACCGCATCTTCTTTATCTTCATGTAGATTTCTACTACTAGAGGAAGAGCTATGTATTTATACGTTCCTTCACTTCAATAAATAGATAATATAGAATAACTAGTTTCTAAAACAATTATTAACGTTTCCTGCATTTTTATTACTCTGTACAGATGGTGATTTTATATACATACATATAAAATATTGTTAGTATAATAATAAACACCCCACAGGTAATACAACCCTCTGTATCTCTGAAGGTATCACAAGGTACTTTGTGCGTGCGGGAGAGGGCTACACATTTAGAGACAATGGACCCACACTCAATATCCGAGAATTCTGGGATTAATTCCTGGTTTAGAAAAAGCCCTAGCTCTCCGACCGGGGATCAAACCCGAGACTCCTGGGTGAGAGCAAAGTGCCCTTACAGCTCGACCACGAAGCCACATTAATAATTAATTATATACATTATGGAGATTTGATGACATGTTTTTCTCCGCTTACAGTTACGTTTAATACACGTAGAAAAAAATATCACGAATAACTCGCGTTCTTATACTAAACTTCTAATAGAGACCTCTACTCGCTCATCAATATTAAATCTGAAAAAACACCATGGAATCCCTAACGTAGACTTTATCTCCTAAGCGCACTCGTCAAAACTAATACTTGACAGCAAGGAGGAGCCACAAGCATCGAGGGGCGTATGTTCGAATCGATACCATCTCTGCGCAGTCCTTATGGTCTTATTCGTCAGGGTGGAGCGTCAGGACACTCCTTTAACCTAAGCACAACCTCCTTCACTGACTTCACGGATTAGTAGACAGCCGACGGCCTGCTAACAATGTTGGTGCCGGCTGATATGTTGGCGGCCCAGTCAAAAATGCTGTATCAGATAAATAAATATTACGGGGAGAGAGTGCAAACGAGAATGGCCACCATCGCCAAAACAATAAGGGAAGTTTGTAAAGTGGTGCAAGACGTTTTGAAAGAAGTGGAAGTGCAAGAACCTAGGTTTATATCTTCATTAACGGAATGTAATGGGAGATATGAAGGACTAGAGGTTATTTCTCCTATAGAATTTGAGGTAGTGTTATATCTTAATCAAATGGGTGTTTTTAATTTCGTTGATGATGGTACGTTACCCGGATGTGCGGTGTTAAAACTCAGCGACGGAAGAAAGCGGTCGATGTCCTTGTGGGTTGAGTTCATTACAGCCTCAGGGTATCTTTCAGCAAGAAAAATCAGATCTCGGTTCCAGACTTTGGTCGCTCAAGCATGTGATAAGTGTTCCTACAGAGACT